GCTGGTACAGAGGCTGAGTGGTTGAAAAACTTCTTGGCAAATATCCCATTGGGAGACAAGCCAACGCCATCAATATCATTACACTGTGATAACCAGGCATCAATAGCCACGGCCAAAAATAAAACATTTAATGGCAAAAGCAGACACATTCGATTGAGACACAATATTTTAAGGCAGCTGCTAAAGGACGAGGTGATCTCAATCGATTTTGTGAGGTCAGAAATGAACCTAGCAGATCCATTAACAAAACCCCTAGGGAGGAAACAAATTATTGAAACATCGAGGGGAATGGGACTAAAGCCAGTATGATTACGACAGCGATGGCAACCCAACCTTTGTGATTGGTGATCCCATGAAGAAGGTTCAATGGGTAAAAACAAGTCGCTCGTTAGTACTGCTAGCACTAAACCAAAATTACTAGTCCCTTCCTATGATGTGCGAGAAAGTGCTAGATTGCATATTGGAGGGTTGAGCAAAGCTCTTAATGATTTCAAATCCTACGAGATGGTGTATTCAGTGCAGGTACACTTAAATGAAATCACCTCTACGAATGTGGAGTGGGGCCGCTCCTATGAGATCATGGCAAAATCTCTAGAGCATTCGTTATGCACCAGGCACGCGCATGGCCGTTATAACGCGCAAAACCGTCGTTAATAGCGGAAATGTGGGGGTATAATCTGACTTTTAATGCCTCTGGTACACGCCGAAGAGATGACAGTTCATAGAAGCAGGCTTCACTGGCATCTCTATGTACTAAGTGTTATCAGTCTAGGTCTAGTTCATAGTCGCAAGAACCACTAGATACAATGATTATACCCATGTGTGTAACTTTGGCTCTTTATTTGACACATGTGGGGGATTGTTGTGATACAATGCAATGTGTGTGTCAAATAAAGTCCCACATGGGAAAGATGAGAAGAAGTCTAAGTGTATAAATGAGATCAAGCATCCTTGGGGGGTTAAATGGGCCAAGAGGGAAGTGGGCCTCGCGCACACAACAACGGGCCACCAGGAGGGAAACGCAATTGTAAACCGGCGATTTCCCCCCCTGCGTGTGAATTAAACGCGGCAAAGCCTCATTTTACGAAAATTATTTTAAACTTTGTTGAATATTTTTTTTAATAAAATTATGCTTACCAGAAAAGCCTATTTTGGACCTGTTAAAAGTCAAGAGGCTTGCCGTATCGTTTGTGGCCGACCGGACGTGTCTCGCGAGGTGTAAACGAACGTTGTGTGCACCAACGTTCGTGTTGTTCCGTCTCCAACGGAACCTTGCGTTGCTTCGGTCGTACCCGCTCGGCGAAACAGAGGGATGCGTCCTCCGGTGATGTGGCCATTCGCGCCTATATAAGGGACTGTCCAGACAGCGTGATTATATACACTGTTCCATCCTCTTCCTCTTCTCTCCCGCTGTGTTTCCTGTTACAATTGCTTTCGCTGTTCTGCTACCTTGCTTCGCAGGAAGGGTTCGTTTGATCCTGGGGAGTGCCGCTGCCTGTTACACCGAGGGGTTGCGGAATATCTCTCAAGGACAGTGTCCTTGTGACGCGACTCGAACTAGATTTGCTGTTCCTCCTTTGCTGCCGCCAACAAATCCCGACCTACTTTACCTTGTTTATCATGCTATCATATTTATGTGTAAAAGTACAATACCCGACTGCAATTCTTGCTAGCAGGGGTAAAAGCATGAAATGTGTTCTTCTTGATGAAGTTGCAGACATGGCACACAAGAAACTCCGCGAAAGTAAGGAGAACGTTAACTCCCTATTGATTCAATTCGCATTAATAGTCAAGAGAAAAGGTACCTACATCACGAACAAAGAAATTAACTATTATACTAACGCATGGACTCAAGACAGATATATGCTCAAGATTTAATGTTGTACTAACAACGTAATGCTATATGCAGGAGAACTGATTGCTCATAGTTACAAGGGAATGATAAATGTGATACTGAACCCAATTAATCCTGGAGATATACAATTTAGGTACCTGGTTGGCTACGAGGGAAGGCTGCCATCTATGGGATAGTTTTATTCTGTAGAACCTGCGTGGCTACATGATTTGACTGTATAGAATGCATGCCTCTATGTTTAGATCTTTTAACGTATCTCATGGTTTGATCCTTTAAGATGATTCTGGTTTATAAATATTTATATTTGCAATTTAGTTATTTAAATGTATAACCTAGTATTTGAAGTCCTCTACGATTATAAAATAATGCATATAATCTCGCGTTTGAGACACTAACAAAATGAAATCCTAATAAAACAATGAGATCCCAACTAAAAGATGCAGATGAGTCCATTCAAATGCTTACAAAATGTCATATATTAAAAAGAGTCGATTAGTTCAAACACAATTTCTATTTAAGTACTTCATTTATCCATGTAAATATCAAAATTATTATTATATCATTATGCTACAAATATGGGAAATCCTTGAGCTGAGTAACGTCTGTAAATTGTGTTTATGCTATTACGCGAATTACTTAAAAATAAAATCAAAATAAAAGTACAAAGAACTAAAAATCATATTACAAAGCAGGAGTTGTTACCAATATGTAGATAAATGATTTTTATTTTTTTAATTTTTATAAAAGCCACGTTTGTACCCATGTTCTGCTATCCATACGTTTATCTTTCTACCCTTTTTTCCCTATTCATGCGTTTTTTTTATTTCAAATTATTCATGGGAAAAATGCTTTGGTTGGAACGATAACTGTGTGACTGCTCTCTACTCGAAAAATGTGGCATGTAATTTGATCATGATTTATCTCGGGATCATTTGGCGGTTGCTTGGCAAGTTAATTTAAAACTCTAACTATGCTTGGGCTGTACACTATGAAACTTAATATAATGGCAAATTTTTTTATATGTTATTTTAATATAAAAGCTGTCATTTTTCAACTGCAGGTGTAATTATCGTCAATATCAATACTTTATAAAAGTTTGATTTGATATTTATATATTTATCGGGAAAAAAATCTATGCTTCGGATCACTAGTTCAGTCCTCAATTATTTTCCAGATACATCTGGATATGTACACAAATATATAACTTTATTTTCGATGATGGCCAAAATAAGTAACTTTAGAATACAGCCATATGATAAAGATTTTACAGTTTTTTGTGTCGATTTTGTCGTTTACAATATGTAGCAATAATGATGATGATGATATGATGATGATGATGAAGCAAAATTTATCACCTGTCAAATTTTTTTAACAATATTAATATTCTTAAAACGATAGATTACCGTTGTAAAATCAAGTGATGCAAAAATTAATATTAATAATAATGATGATACAAACATGCATAATAAGAAAACTGAAATAACAATAGTAATAATATTAATTGATATGAATATTAATAGTAAGGTAAAATAAAATAATATTTCTAATTTCTAATATTTTAATGGAATAGATTGTTAGTTGTGCAGCTGGATACAAAATAAATAACATAAAATTGAGTTTCTAAATACATTATAAATAGTTTGCTTATCAAATGATTCATTGGAGAATATTTTTATGGACTTTTTTTGGATCCTTACCAAATTATTAAATATTTTTATGGACTATTGGTAATGGATAAAAAATATACCACTGAATTTTTCAATACATTAGAGATAAACATTTTTATGTTATAATTATAAATAGTTTACTTACCAATTCAAATTTAAACTATACATAGTTGGTTTATATTTTTTTATTGAAATCAGAAAAGTCCATATTGGTGGTATTTTATTAGACGCAATTATTTTCATAGGCATGATGTTATGCCCCAATAAACCCTTTTTACTAACATAAATTTTTAAAACGATGGATCACCGTTGTAAAATCAAGTGATGCAAAAATTAATATTAATAATAATGATGGTAGAGACATGCATAATTAGAAAACTGAAATAACAATAGTAATAATATTAATTAATAGGAATAATAATAATGTAAAATAATACTCCTCCGGTCCTTAATATAATACCCATTTAACTAATTTGATTAGATTAAGGAAGTTAGGTAAGTTAGTTAATTATAAGAAAAGTGACACATTTTTCCTAAAATACCATAATTATCTTTCTTAATACCCCCTCTCCCTCTTCTACTTGATTATAATTGAGGGAGTATCCATAGGGGTAATTTAGAGAAAATTGATAAATATGATAAATGGGTCTTATATTTAGGACCAAAACTAACTTAAGAATTGGGTCCTATATTAAGGACCGGAGGAGTATAATATTTCTAATTTGACATTAAGAAAACTGAAATAATTAATTTTTATTTTTAATTAAAGTGAGGCATTTTATTCATTTGACAATATTCAAAAATTCTAAATTAGGCCTCATGGCCTCATTAGGAATTTGTTAAAAGTATAAGTCTTAATTTGGGTTTAGATATTTTAGTCAGATTTTATTGGGATTCTCTCTAAAAAATATAACACTGAATGTTTATGGACTTTTTTTTTTGGGAACTAATGGATAAAAAATATAACCCAAATTTCTCAATACATTAGAGATAAACATTTTTATATTTTAATTATAAATAGTTTACTTACCAATTCAAATTTAAACTATACATAGTTGGTCTATATTTTATCAAAATCAGAAAAGTCCATAGTTGGTCTATATTATTTTCATAAGTATGATATTATGCCCAATACACCCCTATAAATAGACATAGAAGCATTTAAACCATGTTTATTTATGGATAGACTTTTAAAAGTGTAAATCAAATATAGATAAAATATCTCTGTTACGCCATCCACATAAAAAGCATATCATGTAGATACACTACTCGACATTTTAGGCTACGTTTCCAGTCATGGCAGTTGAGGTAATTGTTGGGCACACAAATAAGCCAACATGCCATGATATCCCTTAGAAATAGCACCCTATACAAAGCCCATAAAAGAACTCAATACATACAAGCCTTTCTACTTGACCAACCATTACCCACATAGACACAAAACATCTCATTTGAATTGAACACGGGCATAAATAACATCATTCTACATTAGCCCCTGTGGAATAAAGAATCAAAGAGATAGATTGTAGAAAACTTCATTAAAAACTACATTGGAAGTCTTGTTGGTGGGGTTTCCTTGATCATCAAGGATAAGTATTTTGAGACCCCGCTTATTCTGAACTCTAGAGATAGCAACATACAACTGACCATGTGTGAAAACAAGACGGGCTAGAAATAAGCCAACATTTGTTTAAAGTTTGACCCTGACTTTTGTTTATTGTCATGGCAAAAGAGAGCATGATTGGAAACTGTCTTCTACACAATGCAAATGGTAATGAAGTTTCTGATGGTGTAATAGTAACGCGTGGAATTAAGACTTCTTGGCCTCTACCAATCCCTGTGATAATCTCTGCTCCAATCACATGATTGTCTAATCTTGTGACAACCAAATGGGTTCCATTACATAATCCTATTGATTTATCTAAATTCCTCATCATCATTATAGGAGATCCAATCTTCAAGACCAATTTGTGATTAGGCAAACCAGACATGGTGATTTTGTTCAAGAACTCAACTGAGTGCATTTGCGCAATGGAGGCACTAATACCATCTTGCTTAGAAACACTATCTGCACTAAGATACACAACTTCATCCCCTGGTAACATTGAAAGTATATGATTATTAACACCATCAACTGTTGATAAGTTGGATGTTAGTATTGCACGGTTTTTGAAATAGGAGTTATCATCCCAATTATTAAGTAAATTTGGATATGTATTACCAATAATGCAATCCATTGCATCACCTGAGGGGAATAGTAACAAATCTTTTGGAATAGTAATGGTATCATTAGTGCCATCTTCTACATCTATTTCACCATCACCAACTGACACAATCCAGCGTGCAAACTTAGCTATTTCCTTAGAACACTGTGACAAATTACCTGTAGTCATCCTTACATTTTTTGTTAGTGTAAATACTTTGCAATCATTCCATATGTAAGATGCATTGATAGAGGTGAACACAATATCCTCCTGACTATCCCTTGGTATAACAAGTAAAATTTGTCTAAAATCGCCACCAAGGACAATTGTCTTTCTGCCCAATACTTGATTTATAGCATTGGGGTTTGGAAGCTTCATTATGTCTCATAGTGTTCTATCCAATGCCTCAAAATAGTACTTGTTTGCCATAGGAGCTTCATCCCATATTGTCATGGTGGTTTCTATCAAAAGCTCAGCAAGAGGTGATCCCTATCGTATATTACAAACCGAATCCTCAGTTATTGCTAGAGGAATGGCAAATTGTGAATGTGTAGTTTTTCCATTGGGTAATAATAGTGAGGCAATTACACTGGAAGCAACACTCAAGACTATCTTTCCTTCTGATCTCAGTGATGTACACGATGCTTGCCATAAGTATGTTTTACCTGTCCCCCCATAACCATAAACAAAAAAGACACCACCACAGCCCGTATTAACAGCGTTCATGATAGAATTGAATATTGTGGCTTGTTCATCAGTGAAACTATTGAGATATTCATGCAATCGATGTTGAAGAGCCACTCTATCAAAGTCCAACTCAGCCAAAATCAATCTATTTATTGTACTTCTATGAGAACAATCTTCTAGCAAAGGCATGGATGGATAATCCTGAAGGTTTTTGCCATGAATTTTCAATAGTTCTTCAATTTTTAATAAAGCATGATTGTGTAGTTCAGTGTTGCTCAATATAAGACCTATAGAAATATGTGTATTATTTTGTCACGGATATTTAGACAAAGATAGAATGTGGTATAACCAAAGCCAAACAGAAATAAGTATTTAATAGGAAGAAAGCATTCTAATATATATTTAAATAAACCAGAAATGAATATCTAATACGAATAAAGCGTTCTAAAATATATGATTGAAAAACCGCATGGCATTTACTTTTTGTTCTTCTTAGGTAGTGTTGCATGCTTAATAAAGATAAGTCAAAGATATGGGTAAATTGATACCTATATAACCAGTTAATTGTCGTTGCATGTATGTGATGTCTTCAACCATGAATCTCCATGTATGCTCCCACACAATTTCTGGTTGAGATATGCAGTTGCACAATAATAAGATTGAAAACATACGACGAAGATAACTTGGAGAAGCCCATTGATTTGCTTCTTTAATAGCATCAATATATTCTCTGTCATCCTCCAATAGGCCCAATGCATAGCATGCATCTCTAAATGTTGGATAGAGAATGCTATCAACAGTCCTTAAATCTTCATATGATGTAGGACCTCTGACTGTAGCTAGCAGTAAACGCAAATAATAGATCTCTCTAGATCCAGGAGGCACATAGTGTAATCTCCCTATTGTAAACCCCGATTTCCTGAAGTCCCAGTAATTACCATTTTTTTTTGTACACAAAGTTGTTTGGGAATTCAGAGTATGTTAATCTTTGTGCTTCCCCATATAATTTGTTTGCATTCATCTATGCTCGAACATTGTGAGTTTTCCCTCATTGTGATTTATCACCTCCTGTAAGTTAGCGTTATCTTCATAGATAATTGATTGCTGATTAGGGAGATGAAAAGACAGCCTTTGTACTGAAGGTGTTCTAAAGTTTATATCATAACTAGGTATTCTCCAAACAGCTTCACATGGTGATAAATAGCAGACATCATAATACATCTTTATCTCATCATGGTTTGCTCTGGAATCACTTGAAGACATCTCTGCATAGAAAGCTGCAATAGCGCGATCATGTCCTTTGCTCACATATTTGAATAAATATTTGATTGACTCTCCATGCTTGGTCCGGTCTACATTAATATGTGCATGATACTTTAATAATAACGTGCTATTGTAAGGTATGACACTTATATTGTCCAATTGTATTCCATTTTTCATTACTTCTTGGCCATTATCTAGTCTTCTATAACGCGTGTAGCCATCTTCATGGATAATGGTGCTAGAATTGAATGATTTTGGATAAAATTTTGAACAGCTTCCATTCACTATACATGGGGATTTAGGATTAGTTATGCCACAAGGTCTGTGCATCATGTAAATGCTAACTACCTCATAAAGCTCTAGTTCTTCATCCTTATTAGGTATCTCGACACTTATGAATCGGTCAATATCTTGGGGTGTATCAAGCATGGTCTCATTTGCCAGAAATAGAATGATATGAGCATGGGGGAGACCTCTCCTTTGAAACTCTATTATATACAAGGCTGTTAAGTAAAAATTCATTAGTAGATATAAGATTGAAGTAAAGAAGATAGTGCGAGCACTGGTGTGTAATAGTATTCTAAAATATAGTAATACAAATTTATGTGCAAGGAATAAATGATAAATATTAATACCTGCTTTAATAGGACCAAAGATATCACCATTCTGTAAATCCGGCACCAATTCTTCTAATTTCATGTGAAAAACCCGGCATAAAATATATGGGCGATCTTCCAACTTCGATTTTCGTCTTTCCAGTGCTCTAGTCACCTCTGGCCATTTTGGATTGCAAGTGAATGTTATGAAGAGCTGAGGATATCCAGCCCAATTACAAATTGCCATTGCATTCTGGTAATTACCCATTATGTAATGTGGACCTCCAGTAAAAGAAGATGTAAGAATAATTCTTTTTCCTTTTGCAGCTGCCTCCCTCTCCCCCAAGAGAATAGCATCAGTTAAACCTCTATACATTTCGGCACGCAATTGCCTTTGATTATTCCGTAAGAAATTAAGCCTACTTGCTTCCATCATGGTATATCCATCAACAATGAACTTTTGGAATAACTTTCCACCATGTAGAATTGTAGAGAATTCATTATCTCTATCTTGGATTACAAAAGCAAAATACTCACGCAATGAAACATATGAGGGTTTGTTTGGCTCATCATCTGTGAATATTATATGAGGTATATCTTCACTATAACCAGCTTTGCCATAAGGAAATAGTAAAGGATACTGCAATGGCAAAAAATTACTATGTTTTTCAGATATCCTCTATAACATGCCTGTCTTGTATTGAACGATCAAATCTCTTCCGTATCCTGTTGACCCATTATCTCCTATTATCAAAGCAGCTATTTCATGGTTTGAGCTGGGTATGTTATATTGTTGGGTATTTCTTCCCCCCTTATGCACAAGCTTAATTTTGATAGTCTGTTCCTCATTAGCAGCTAAGAGATCACGCACTCGACGAAAGACTTTAACCAATTCATTGTGCTCATCCAATGTTTCCTGTATCAATAGTACAAGAGAAACATCTACTATTGATGAGCTGCTAGTCTCACCACTGTAAGTCTCAACAATAAAACCGTAGGCAAGTGAGCTGTCAGCCAATAAATTCTAAATCATAAAATGCTATACTAAAACGTTAAAATAATTTAGTTTAAATTTAATAATTTACTTTTACCTGACGACAGATATTCTGTTGGTAATTTCATTTTATGTGTCATAGATGTATAGCTGAGCAAACCTAGGTGCGTCACCATCCATTGGCAGTATACTCCCAATCATATGCACATTTTGCCCATTTATCCTATAAATATATGGGCCTCGTCCATCATTTATTTTTCTATCAATTCTTCCACCCATTGATGTAAACACAAACATCATGTTGTATGTTCTAATATGTGATCAAAAGTGATTGCTTTTAGGGTGTTCTTCGGATAGTAAAGCTAATAATTTAGCAGGAGGATCTTGTAAAGCCGGAAGGTGAACTTTCCCTTGATGACAACACATTCCGAATCACAACAAACTTTCATGTTTGTACCCTTTCAGACATTCATCGCTCCATATTTTAGCATTATAATAAGAACAGATGAAATCTTGATCACCGAAGTCCTTGTATCTTTGCAATTTTGGGAGTTAGTAAATTGAAAAAATTGGAATGGGTTTTTCTATAAGGTGATGCCTAGATAAAGCAAAAAAAAAAAAATAGCAAGTTAACTATTCACTGTTTTACTATAAACATTACTTGCTAAAGTGCTAGATTGACCATGCTCCTGGAATGAACTCTGGGGTAATTTGTTTGCTTTCTTGTGACAAATATCAAGCCTCTCTAACCTTGCTAAGCTGTGAAGGGTTTGATTTGGCGCTGGCATTGCCGAACGATCTTAAAAAGAAAAAAGGTAATTGAGCTATCCTTTAAACAGTTATTAATGTGAAAAAGAAGCATACTAAACTGTATTTACCAATTAAGTAGTCATACTTCATAATAATGAGTAACAAATAATTAATACATATTTTTTTAGGAGCTATCACCTATTATATTAGATAATGAAAACTCTAACAACAATAATACAATATGTGATAATTATTAATTAATATTCATATCGATGTTCACAATGGAGAATATGAAAAAATGATAAATATTTAAGTATCTGTTGTTAGTGGCAATCTCACCCAAGAGGGGGGTGAATTGGGTGAGTTATTAAAAATTTGCAAAATTAAAACTAAGAACTATCGGAAACAGAGAGTGTGAGTTTAGAATGATTTCACCGTAGAGAGGAAGACACAAGATTTATACTGGTTCGGTCTCAACCACTTGACCTACGTCCAGTCCTCAGAACACCTCTGAGTATTTCACTATGTTCCAAGATTGATCGGGCTCTTGGCGCCTCAGTACAGTAATTGAAACTCTCAATCACTCCCCCTTACTTCCCATAAGGTTACAGACTCACTCAAGAGTCCACACCCTTGAGTATCACACAAACGTGATTAGTGAATAATAAGTAAACTCTCTTACAGAGTGAATAAATGATAATCACTGACGCTCGGTGTTATGGAAAAACAGAGTATTGAATGCAACAGTAAGAATCAACAGAGGGTAGCTCGCGTATTCTCGCGTATTCAATCTGTTCATTTAATGCTTCTTCGCGCCTTTTATAGTTGAGGTCGTTTAGTAACCATTAAACGGAAGAGCTTCTAGCCGTTGAGAGCCTGGTTGTGTGTTTCTCTAGTTGCAACGGTTTTTGCCATTAATGCTTCTGACAAGGTAGGTTACAGGCTACTTGAACAGCCGTTGGAGAGCCGTTGGGATTTTCTTCGTAATCTGCAAAAATGCATTAATTCAATAACTTTTTCTCTGTAGAATAAGATCAAAAGTAGAACCGAACAAATGATAAGACGAATATTCAGTTTATGGTTAGAATCAATCAGTTGTTAGATGCGCTGGGTAGTAACTGAACGTGCTTGATCGAAGTGATGTTCGATTATTACTTGATCGATCAGGTTATCGATTATTCTGAGTGAAAGCTTTTGAACCAGATAACTAAGATTATTGATCAAGTGATGGATCAATGGTTTATCGATCAAGTGATCGATAAAAGGAAATAGTGACATCATACTGTGATGCATAGAAAAGGAAGATCAAGTCTGCGTTTGAGTTTGAAACTCTTTAAATAGTGAAATAAGGCATTTATGAAGGCTGAGAAAAGCTCGAATGAAATAGATGATAAATTTTGAGAAACATCGAGGCTAGTTAAAGTTTGAACTGAAATCGCCTCATGATCAAATAAATGATCACCTGTTGATCGATTAGGTTATTGATAAACAAAGTGTTATAAAAATAAATTTTGAATCACTAATTTTTGAACACTTTATCGATAAACAGATGATGGATAACCTTATTGATAAACAATAAGCAAAAGTGTATTTAGTGAAAACACAGGTTATGTAAGTTGATCGAATAGGTGATTGATAAAAGGTTGATCGATAATGTTATCGATAAAGAGATCTATTCTTGTAAAACCAAAGAGCTGATTTATCAATCATGTTATGTGAAAACAAGGTAAACATGAAGTGTGGTTATCGATAATATTATTGATAATCTGATTATCGATCTGATGATCAAAGAGCCATGATCTAACAAAGATATGCTAATTATCGATCATGTGATCGATAATTTTCTGATCGATCAGGTGATTGACAAGTCACTGAAGTAAATACCTGCACACAAAGTTATGAGGCAATGTTCGATCATATTATCGATAAATGACTGATTGATAATGTGATCGATAAATGGAGACAAAAGCAAAACATAGAATGAGTAAAGCGCATTACCATTTATCTGTCTTCTCATCGATAATCGGTTTATTGATCAAGTGATCGATAAATACCTATCAAATTTGTATCCCGACATTCGATCATCCTGATTATCGATCAAGTGATCGATAATTTATTCCAGATTTTCATATACGACTAAGTTAAGAATGATCGATCAACACATTATCTAACACGTTATCGATCAAAGTTTCTGCTGAGTTTACTTAATTAAATAGAGATATTATCTATCAGCTTATCGATCAAACTTTGATCGATCAGATGATCGATCAACATACTAAAACACAAATTACTCACTTTGTTATCATCAAAACCTTAATCCTAACATCTGTCATCTCTCTAGAATACAAAAATTATATAAGATTATCTTAATTGAATAAAAATTATACTATTCATATATTGTGCTATGAACAAAATTCTTATATGCTAACATTTACATGTTTATATCAAAATATGTACATGATATGTCATCAACATTAAATATATACCAGTTATTAGTGGATATTTGGATTAATTACATTTCACTTAATAATTTTATTCAGTTTTGATATAAAATACGCCAAACTTAGTCAAAGAAACCGTCAACTCCAGAACATTTGTTTATTAGAAAAATCTAGGTGATCAGAGAAAATTATTTTCGCCAGATAGAACTTTATCGTAACAAAATTCTGTAATGTTGATACATGGTTCTTCATTGGGGAAGCTTACTATTTGTTATTGTTCTCAACGCTGATCGGTCAGACACCACTTTTTGTTTTTTTGCCGCGAAGCTTGTGTATCCACACTTGAGTTTTTTGTGGAGGTAGATAGCATGTAAATGTATTGTTAAGCCAATACCGAAGAGTGTCCATAATAGATAGCTAAATAAGCCAAAAAAGATTCGCACACACCGTCAACATATCCATAACATTTTCTTTTCTTTTTCCTGAGTATATCTAAGCGTTGAGCTCGTGCCATGGCAAACATAGTATTTTCTGACGAAATTGCAGCTTATACAAAGATAATTATTAGACAGGTCATACTATACATAGATTCCAAATACAATCAAATAAATCGGCAGACATGAGAAATGTCTCTGTTTATCGAGTTGCAACAGCCATGATTAAAACAACATATCTGATAGGTTGAATGTTGATAAACATGGTAAATTCCATGAATGGAGAATAGTAGGCTACTGTGTGAATAGAAGATTATGCCACAGCTAAGTAATCATTCATCGGATAAAATAGCAATATAATGTAGTCACAAAAAAAAGTAGTTCGGGGTGAGAAATCGCGATATGCCATGGTTTTGATATAGAAATGAGACAAAACCTGGAGAAAATACTGCTGTTGGGCAAGAGCCATAGTTAGCCATGCTGAGACTTGCTTGAATTGAGACTGCTGTCTTTGAATAGTCTTCACTTCATTCAGTTCATTGTCTTTATGTAATCTATTCTATATTTTATATGAAAGCTTGTGAGGTAGTTAGTTTGAGTATACCGCCATAAGTGCGTAGCAGGAAAACACAACACTCGTACGTGACATATGAATTGAAGACGTGAGGAAGTGGTGGCAGTTGAAAGGAAGCACGTCTTGCACTTGTCACGATTTAGTTAAATAAAAAATTGCGTGTTTTCTTGCATATACTGACATACATTATTTTGATTAGTTATTTTGTTTAGAGTATGATAAAATTTGGGGGGGGGGGGTTGGTCAGGAGATATTAGTGATTATTACTTTTTAATTAATTTTGATTTGATGCTGCAGTCATTCCATATATTCTCACTAACGTGTGAACTGAAATCTATCTATTTAAAAATATAGATAAGAAAAGTATATTTTTAGACCTAAGATCGTAATTTGGCCACACACAAAAAAAAAAAAGAACGAAGATCGTATCCGCACAAGAAATATTATATGCAGTTTATTTTGGAGGATCATAAAAATTGCAATCACATAAGAGGATAAAAAAATCAGCATATAGATTTAAAAATGCTAAATTCCACATAGCTAAATTAAGCCTCGTAAATTACCATCTACATTACCTCCCCCGCATTCTGTTTTGAACAAAAAATAAAATTTATCCAACAAAATAATTCAAAGGAATTATTTTTAATTCTTGTAAGTTGTAATCAATTTCAGTGAGTCATAAAAACAAAAATTCCATATAATCTTATTACTTATCCACGGTCGCAACAGAAATATTTTTTTTTCCCTAAATAAGTATTCTGTGAAGAATATTCATGGGCAAACTATCTTAGTGTATCCACACAAAAAAATCTTCACAATAAAGATTTTAATATAATCAATACTCATCTGGTCCTTAATATAGAATCTAACTGTTGAGTTGATTTTGATTCTAAATATAAGAGTTATGTTTTATATTTATTAATTTTTTTCTAAATCATCCATATGGATATTTTCTTAACCATAATCAAGTAGAAGAAGGAGAGAGAATATTAAGAAAGATTATTATAGTGTTTTACAAAAAATATGCCATGTTTCTTATAACTAACTAACTTACCTAACCTCTTTAATCTAATAAAATTAGTTAAATAGGTCTTATATTAAGTACTGGAGGAGTAACAAAAGTTACAATAAATCACAACATAAACAAATGTTAGTAAGGTTGTTTTGTTAACTTGAATTGAGGCAAATAAGGCCCTTTCTATAAATCTTAATGTATCAATTATTAAAATGTTAGATAGAAAATTTAACATATTTTGAATTCGCATGTTCTAGTTGCTCATTAATTATTCTAGGGGTATACTCCCATTTATAATTTGACAACGGTATAATTTTTGAACTGACAATATAAATCGGATAGAAAAAACTTGGTGACACAATTGCACAAGTATCTATATTAACTGTAAACTGTTTCGCTGTGCATAAGTAAAACTGTAATTGGGATTTAATTGTTTCAAATGACGTTAGTTGGGTTTCCTCAGTTAACATAATCTTGGTATGATCAACTTGGTGGAAACGCAAATTAAAACCTCACCTATGTTATCATAATTTTGCAATGCATTGGATACTTGACACTAATTAATTTAACTTTGATTAATATGTACATTTAAGACATTCATGTAACTCCCACATGTATGCGCCACATGTATGCGTTTTTAAAAAATTCTGAATATATTTTTAGCATAGATGAGTTCATTTAAATAATATTCACTTCATTTAGACACGTAATTTAATACATTGTTTTGTAACTGGTTAAAACCTTAGGTGATTACATAATATAGATCACCGGTTCAAAAAAATTAATTGCCACCCATTAATTATGCGCTACCATGCTGGCTAATTAAAATCATTGTGTGTTCACGCTGCACTGAAGGAAAAAATAATAAAAGAGATGGATAAAAAAAAATTTTAAGAAAAAGAACTCCAGAACATATAATCCCTTTTGTAATATGATTATGCTATAATCTATTATGCCATGGTTAATATACACTAAGCGAATGAGTGAGTAAGAATAATAAGTTAAACTAAACGCTAAGAATGAATTAATAGTCATGTAAAACAAAGATACACTAAAACATAGATAAACATAAAAACTGCATTTGACGAAGAAGAACAAAAATAAACTTGATTGCAGCGAAGAGATTTGGACAAAATATTCCAATTGGTGACTTAGAAGTCCAATTTCTTCAGTGCTGTACGTGGAACCCTGCTGTCAGTGTTGATCTTGTATTTTCCTCTGGACACATGTGAGGTTGTTTTGGTATCGCACAAAACAGGAGAAGAACCACCGTCATCTGAGTCCACCACTGACATTTTTGAACACTGAATAGAACAATAACACGCACAGTCTAAGAAGATCCAGCGTAGTTTATACAGAGAAAAAAAAAACAATAGTAAATTTTTACAAACCTCATCTGCGAATAACTCATCCTCAAATTCACTTGACAACTTCACTTCGTCATTGAAATTATCCATGTATGCTTTAATCAAATTCTTGTCCTTTGTCAATGCACGCACATAACAATTTTGGGATCTACCCATTGTATAGTCATTGGTTATGCACACTTTGAAAGATACTAGATTCCTATGCTTTTATCTCTAATATTTGCAATGGCATCATTAAAATGCACAATCTACATAGTTAAGCGTGAAGAACATCATTAGGTTGAAAAAGACATGTATATCTTGTTGAATATATAGTAGAAAGTTATATTGTTATGTGCGCGCATATATACATATATACATATATGTGTATATATATACATATATGTGTGTGTGTGATTTTTACGAATTTAGTAGGAGTACAAGCTAATATATTTGTACAGCACAAAAGCATACAATATTGTATTATAACCTCGGTAGTTTTTTGTTGTTGAATATAGTGATGACCCAAATCTGCAGTTGCATCTCCCAACATCCCCGAGAGTCCACACTCAGGAATAATAAAACCGCAGGTGCCATATGCATCTTGCGCAATACAATGCAGCATGTACCTAAGATACTCAAAACAGGTCAACAGCATTTGTAGCTGCGCATGCAATTAAGAATTGATTTATATTGCTAATAACTATTGATTTACTAACTTTGGGTCACTGGCCATCGCAATTTCATAGCAGTTTGGACAAAAGAACTCATCACCATCCATGAGAGCCTCAGTGTCACAATCCTTACAACAATAATAACACCACTGTTGTCCCACTTGAATATCAACAATAGTTGCAAGAACAATTACAACTGCACCCTAGAATTTTTAGATCAACATTAGATACATTGCGGTGATATTTCAACAGTTTGCTCAATGAAAAAATGAATACATGTTGATCTTTACAACTGGATATACGTACAACAGGTCCTCTTGCAGTTTAGACATATTACGCTGATCTTGTATAGTTAAGAATTCATCTTTGATCTGAGCAATAAACTGATCAGCTGTTCGTGCCGGAGCTTGTTCAACATCTATCCCAACTGCCTTTAGTCTAACATATTGTTTCATTGAATTCATGTCATTTTTATGCAAGTTATAGAAAGTAAAGGGAGCACAGAGCAAGAATTATTATTTACTTACTTAGTAAGATAGTGAGCCACCTCATCAAACGAAGGTTGGATAAAGAGTCTTGATGAAAATGAGGTGTTCATAATCATTGTTCGTCCTGGTTAATTAACCAATTAAAAAAAAGCGAAGGAAGTGAGATAACAGACAATAAAATGTATAATATACAAGATCTATACACATTGACCATTTAAATTCAAAACCATACCACAAACTTGTCGAACTTTGAACAGTTGCAATATAACAACAACACACCTCGTGGTAGCGTAAGAAAGAAAGTCAACAATTTCATCTGCAAATGCTCCTGACAAAGTGCAATTCAAAGACTCCATCCTGCAGTTTTTAAGGAACCTTGAAATATTATAAGAAATTACTTTCAGACAAAAAATTCTATAAAATACTAATAGGCTTTGAGTGATATTACTCTTCATCTATAAGCTCGACATCTACTCTGCGGTGTTTGCATCCATTAACTTCAAATTCATACTACCGGCCAACCCTGCTCAACATCCCAATGACATCTACACGCAAAACAAATAGTTGTTTATTAAGCGTCTTAATAATAGAGCTATAAAAATACAAGAGTGTATGTTATATTAAGTTGTCTACTAACCAACTAAATATCTACTGTCAAACTGTGCATTTGTTATCTTTTTAAATCTCTTGAACTGAAAACCATAAGGATGTATATGTCCATTGTCTTCACAGGCTGTTATAAAGGTTGTGTACTTGAAATACACTCTATAAAGATGATCCGTAGTGCTGTATGTCCCCTTATTGGGAAAAACATGAAAGTGCGAGATAATGTAGGTTTTCCCTTGGGGCAAGCTCTTGCAATAATAGGGAACGAACACACTGCGGACAGTGGCATGCACTTGATCACCCTAGTTCATACGCATTAAAATTATATTAGTATAACAAATATGAAAAATCTCGACATCTTTACTCACACCGCATATCTAAAACAAAAACAACAGATGAGAAAAGGTTAGTTGAGTGTCAACATGTTTGTCCTGCAAGATCATTTCCAGAGAAGAAATTTCTTCCCTAGAATATCATGGTGGCATTGGCCATAAACGCACAATTGTAACTCTGATACACCAATCATCACGATCAGAATTGATTAGACGGAGTGGAGCAAACGTAGGAGAATATGACATGTTTTATATGTGACCAACAAATCCACTGTAAAACACCGAGACAATATAAGCATACATAAATATGGTCTGATGAAGAATCTTTTATAGACGCAATAATAGACACCCATAATACGTAGCGGTTACAAAGAATAGAATACTATATAATTGTGCGTATAGTGGGCAACGGATTTTCAGATAGTGGGCAAAAAACAAAATATATCTAAGCTAAAAAGACACATGTATACGTGACATTTGAATTGAAGATGTGAGGAAGTGGTGGCAGTTGAAAGGAAGCACATCTTTCACCTGTCACGATTTAGTTAAATGAAAAATTGCGTGTTTTCACGCATATATTGACATACATTATTTTGTTTAGTTATTTTGTTTAGAGTATGATAAAATTGAGGGGGGGAAAGGAGTTGGTCAGGAGATATTAGTGATTATTACTTTTTAATTAATTTTGATTTGATGCTGCAGTCATTCCATATATTCTCACTAACGCGTGACCTGAAATCTATCTATTTAAAAATATAGATAGGAAAAGTATATATTTAGACTTAAGATCATAATCTGGCCACACACAAAAAAAGGACCCAAGATCGTATCCGCGCAAGAAATATTATATAAAGTTTATTTTGGAGGATCATAAAAATCACAATTACATAAGAGGATAAAAAAATCAACATATAAATTTAAAAATGCTAAATTCCACGTAGCTAAATTAAGCCTCGTGCATTATCATCTGCATGACCTCCCCTACATTCTATTTTGAACAAAAAATAAAATTTATCCAACAAAAGATTCAAAGGAATTATTTTTAATTCTTGTAATCAATTTCAGTAAGTCATAAAAACAAAAATTCCATATAATATTATTACTTATTTACAGTCGCAACAGAACTAAATTTTTTTTTAGCACTAATTCAAAAAAATTGATTGCCATCCCTTAATTATGCACTACCATGCTAGCTGATCAAAATCATTGTGTGTTCACCGCTGCACTGAAGGAAAAAAAAGATAAAAGACATGGACAAAAAAAATTTTTTAAAGAAAAAGAACTCCAGAACATATAATCCCTTATGTAACATGATTACACTATAATCTATTATGCCATGGTTACTATACACTAAGGGAATGGGTGAGTAAGAATGATAAGTTAAACTGAATGCTGAGAACGAATTAATATTATATTCATGTAAAACAAAGATACACTAAAACGTAGATAAACATAAAAACTACATTTGACAAAGAAGAGTGAAAATAAATGCCTAATAAATCCAGCGATATTTTTTCAACATGCACAAGCAGATCTTGCATATCCTGAGGTAATAAATGTAATAATTTTAAATATAAAATGTTATTACCTATAATGATTTTTGTATTGTCATATATTATATATATAAGGGAACAAATTAATATCTTAATAACCTGTTTTATTTTTTGCTAAAAAAATTAACCTGTTTTATTTTTTCCATTTAAAAGTAATATGAACTCCTAAGCCATTAATCAGCAATTGACTTGGGAAGTAGCTGTTGCCCATTATGAAAAAACTGTCCATGGCCACAACAACCCACTACCCATGTAAATAGAAAGAAGTTATTATCAAATAACTAAAAAAATAAAACATAAAAAAAAAACACAAAATCAGCTATTAACTAAGGAAAACATTAATAAAAAATAAAATTTTTAAATTAAAAAAATGCTATCACCTATAATGAGTTTTTATTGCCATATATTATACTTATAAAGGAATAAATTAATATCTTAATAACCTAAACATACCCTAATAAGCAATTGCAGAAAAACATAACGCGGAAAATATATCCAAAAGTAGGTTAATCAGAACATTTCATCAATACACGGGTAGTGTGTTAATTTCTTTTTTAATTCAGAAAAAGTAAATATGATGTAGAAAAATAGTTACCTTTTTTCTTGGGAAAAGTATACATGTAACAGAAAAGAGGACATTTCAAACACAAGAAAAAAAATTTAATGTTAACTTCAACAATTAAAATTCTTTGAGAGAACCAACCCAAAAAAATTGAAATATACAAAATAATGCAGTCAAAAATTGAAATTACACAATCCCACATAAAATATAAATTTGAATCACCTGTAATCAATAGTGCAAATCCCAGGCAAACGACTTAAACAGACTCATTAGCTAATTCCTCGAAAATAAAATGAATACCAGATAGGGAATAATTAATTATTGTATAAAAGGCAAAAAAAATTAGTGGTGGCTCAGAATATTGTAAACAAAGTTGGCAATAGAGCAAATCATCAATTTGCTTAGTTTTTTAATTGCTAATAATAGGCTAATTGAAATCTATAGTATTTATCATATTAGAAGCAATTTCTTTCTTTCTGTTTTTTTTTTTTTTGCTTTTTTTGACACTGTTGTCGCAAACACCCTACCTTAAGTCGAAATTTATTATATTGTTAGTGGGCCTAGAAAAAACATGGTGTGTAAGATATGGATAGATTTAGCTATTTTTAAATCCATTGCAACACAAGTGGATCATTGCTCCAAACAAAGAAAAAAAAAAAAAAGGAAGTCCTACAAGTAGATAATACAAATAAATACATATGCCATGCATCCTAGCTATAAAGCATTAAATTTTTATTAGCAGTTTAAATTTTATTTTTTTTAAGTCTATATAAGTATCTCAATAGACTAAAGGGGCAAAAAGCAGAAGTCACATCATTATTTCATATGTTATTTATAATGACAAGTAGGTAAAAAAAATATGTAAAATATTGCATGAATAATAAAATAGACGAAATATCGATCATATTTTTGTTAATGGTTATAGGATGAAATATAAATTACATAAAATAAACAGATAAGTATGAAATGAAACCAACGAAATTGTTTGACCATTATAAAAAGCTTAATTGTCGCTAAGAACATGACCAACGCACATAATAACTGGAAATAAATACATAACCTAAAAACAGATTAAAAACACCAAATTAGGAATAAGAGCTAGAAATGGTATTAACAACATGACAGAAAGTTTAAAATCATCAACTCAAGCCTATTCTTCCTGGATTTGTTTGCGTTTTGCTTTGCGACGCCTTGCAAATGATGTATTATTTTCATCAGCTTCAAGATTTCCACCAAGTGATAATTGAACATATTTTCAGTACCGTTCTTCGCACCATTATGTCCAGATGTAGTAGAAGGGATTTCCACGAAACCAGCATTGTGCTTGCTACTCTCTACCTCAACTTGACAATCAGCTTATGGGAAATTACCAAATGGGTTTGCTTCTCAACATTAGCAGTGTTTACAATTGCAACTTTAGATTCCACTATGGACTTCATTGCTTCGAAACCTAGGCCTATTGCAGTTGCCACTTAGTGTGTAGAGATTGAGTCAAACTTTGATAATTCAGAGAAATTTGCATGCACAGTTTGATTAGCAGAAGAACTTGCACCATCAGATGACTCTATCAGGCACTGCTCAGTGGTCTGCATAAATGTAAAGATTTAGATGTATAGAAACATATGTATATATTTGTGTAATGCATCCAAAATGTAAATAAAATGATATAATAGAAAATGAAATAGCTATACCTTTTCTTCTGTGAGACCAACAGAAGTACAACCCTCTAATACAGTGTCTTCAAGAAAGACTGCATTATGGCTTTATCATTTGTCAACCAAGTAGCTACACACACATTGGAATTCCCATTGACATAATCTCCTGGAATACGTATCTTGAACAAATACCTCTTCCAAGATATCTGCTCAAGAATATATGACAATATACCTTCATCAGAGTCATCCTTGATAAATAATTGACGAGTGGTTAGAAAATATAAATGGCACAGGATTAAAAACATGCATGACACAAAATAATTTGTATGCTTACTGTTTAACAACCTGATTAGTCTAACGTGCCTTCAACTCTGCTATTGAACATCCAAGCAGTTTGGATAATTCTCGGTCAAAAATTACAACATGACATGATCCAGTGTCATCCAGTATCTCACAGTCCACCATGAACCTGCTAATAAAATATCAGCATTGTATGAAATAATAAATATTTTTGTATGAAAATTGTGACCACCAAAAGAGATATATCACATTAACATTACCTGGGAATAACAACTTTTACTATAGCTTGGCACTTTTCGTAAAAGAAACCTTCTCCATCTGGAACCACTTTCTTGCTACACTGTTTGCACGATGTGTACATCCATCCACGATCAGATCTCACATCTATAATATCTGTCATAGTAACCACTATAGATTCCTGTAATAAATAACACAAGGTATATATACAGTATTAAGATAAGAATAGTAAGAATGACAAAAATATAGACCAACGAAGTAGAAAACAATGCATTGCGCTATATACGCACTGCTGGTCCAGATCGTAAATCCACTATTTTTCTTCAATCATCTACAGCCAGTAGATCGTCGGCCACAGATAATACAATTTGTGGAGCAATTCGAGCAGGTATTTGGCCCAACTGAATCCCAGCACTTTTCAATTTGTGAAAAATATTTTTAAAAAAAAGGATAAATCCTATCATATGCAATAAAACTTGGAATAAATGTAGACGCTATTATACTCAAACCAATATAATTGCATACTTCTACACAAACTCTTGAATTTCTTGTATTGTAGGATGAATCAGGAGACGAGAAGAGTACATGAAATTAGAGACTTTTTTCCTTCCTGCCATGCCATTACATGGAAAAAAAATTAGATTTATTATTGTTCAAAGGAACCCAATATAACTATGGTGTCAAATAAACAGTATTAGACCTTTAAACTCCCTAACTTTGCACAGTTGAATGACGATGATAGTAGAACCAGCGTGGACATGAGACACATGCTGCAGAACTTCATTAGTAAAATCTCCCCACAATGTACACTCTAGTTTTTCCTTCTTGTCAAAATGAAAGAAACAAAAAGAAAAAATTCCACTCTAAACCTAAGTTTTTAATCATTGACTTGGTTAAATTGGGAGAAATAGACTTAGAATAAGAGTGTACCCTTCATCCAATAACTCTACATCAAGCCTAAACTGTGTGCGTCCGTTGACATTGCATTCTTCTTTTTCTCCCACTCCAGTTAGTAACCCGATGACATCTACAAGAGAAAATACAGAGTTAGCTCACCATAAATAATTTTAACATAATAATCACATATCCAACACTTATATAATAGCCTACCAATTAGATATCGATCATCAAACTGATCGGATAATATTTTAGAGAATGAACAGAATGCAAAACCAAAGTTGTTTATTTTGCCATCATCCGTATATGGTAGAATAGAAGTGGAAAAAATAAAGTTTGCTTGGTGGGGATGATCAGTGGTTCAGTATGAGCCTGTATTGGGAGAAACATAAAAATACGATACCACATATGTTTTTCCCTCTTCAAAATTCTTGCAATGTCGTGAAAGGAAGGCAGTCTTAACTGTAGCATGGATGTTGTCACCCTATAAGAAAATAACTCTTAGAACACAAGAAGTAAGATGCCTAAATTAATCAGTAAAACACTTACATCCTCATCCTTGAGAATCATTTCCATGGATGATATTCCTTCATGAGAGTAGCGTCCAGGCATAGTCCATAATCGAACCAGACGAACTTTGATTTTCCAATTTTGTCTGCATGGGTTAATAGCACGAACTGAATCAAATGCAGGAGCCATGTGAACACTTGGAGAACACTGATGGTACGATAACAACAGGAGGAATTTGCTAACTGGAATAAATTCATAGGCTCCTGCTCTTTATATAGCGAAAAATTCATCTACAGTTACAATAAAAAAAATGAACATTATTAGCAATGCACGTGTGTGATGTAGCAACAATTCCACCCATAATACATAGTAGTTATACAGCACAAAATACCATATAGTTGTGGGCATAGTGGGCAGCAGATTTTGTGTGCATAGTGGCCTATATATTGGGATGATACAAGTGATTTTGTGCGCATAATGGGCAGCGGATTTTGTGCGCATAGTGACCTTACCCATAATGTTAACACCTTAACTTTTGCCGGTTTTGATGAAATATTAATTTTAATTTTAATTTAGTAAATAAATTAAAATATGAAATATTAATTTGATTTCTGAAAGACTAACCATCCTTAAAAAATTCCACCCAAAAACATAACAACGCAAGCACATAAGATTATTCAATTATTTGGTTCTTTAATTTTATAAATATATTTGTAAGTTCCTAACTTTTTAATCTATAAATTTTGAGTTTAGTTTTATGAAATAAGAAATATTAATTTAACATTTGAAAGATTATTAAATGTAATTTAAAATAATATTAATTTGAACCCAAATAGTAACCAATTGTGGCTTTTTAATGAAATATCAGTTTTAATTCACAATTTAAAATATTAATTAAATTAATTTAAAACATAAAATATTAATTTGAAATTAGAAAACTCCCATAACACAGCCTTGAAATACAGGACAATGTGGATAATTTTTTAATTTAACAACTGTCATGTATTTACAAAACAAAATATATTACTTCACTTAATTGTACTGGAAAAAAAAAACTGCCCTTATTCACCGTTAAAGTGGATAATTTTTTAATTGAACAGCTATCATATATTCCAAAAACGGTCCACCTTTAAAGTTACTAAAGATCAGAAAATTAAAAACAAATTTGTAACATGATATCTGAATTTTTTGAATATAAAAATTTATTCTATTTATTTTTTAATATAAAAACTGTCCACATTCAAAATTATTTGTAATCAGAAATTAAAAATAAATTTGAAACATGGGATCTTAATTTTTTTACTGTCATACATAAACGGTTCTATAAATTGAATTCAATTTTGAAATTACTTATAATAAAATAATCTACCCACGTTCCATATTGCATGATCTTAAACGTAGGCAACCAATATATGCAGTAATCAAATAATTATTAAATGATTTATTAAATAGTAAATATGGGATCTTAATTTTTTTTGCTGTCATACATAAACGGTTCTATAAATTGAATTCAATTTTGAAATCACTTATAATGAAATAACCTACCCACGTTCCATATTGCATGATCTTAAACGTGGGCCAACCAATATATACAAAAATTACTTATAATGAAATAATCTACCCACGTTCCATATTGCATGATCTTAAACGTGAGGCAACTAATATATGCAATAATAAAACAATTATTAAATAATTTATTAATTAGTAAAAGAGATTACGCTTTATTTCAAAATGATTAAAAAATTGATACATTTATCTCCTTTCTTGTTGTACCACTTGTCACGCTTCTAAATGGCCCTGCAGAGACCCCTCTCTTATAATAGTAATAGATAGATGCGGAACCACGATGATGAAAGAGAAGGGATAAGTCCGATTTGTTTATTTATTTTTATTGCCCACAAATGGTTCATAATAGAACTCAAAAGTCCATTTATCTAGCTACATGGTGGTTTGCCTCTTTCTTCAGGAGGGCAACACATATCCACACAAGCTTTCAGGCAATTAGGGTCTATATTAATTGGTTCGACGCAGCCCGGCGTACATTCACGCATGCATTTGGCGGGGTCTTCTCCGGCAACCGCCGTGAACAATGCCGTCGAGACCACCACAAGACACAGCACCACCAGAATTGCCCTCACTTTGTTGTTCTTCGAAGCCATTTCTGACTTCTCTTAATTCCCTGCTTTCTTTCTCTTCTTTAAGCCTACTTATATATAGAAAAGAGGTCGTTAATACTCTTGATTGCGATGATTTTTTTACCTCCAAAGGAATTATTCATTTTTAAGGTTGTAATTTTTAAATTTTAGTGTCGAGGTATAATAATAATATAATGCCGTCTTTGAAGTTTTCTCTTTATGAACGTAACTATTTATTTTAAGCGTTACACATATTTTGGGCATAGTTCCTAAATTAATTAATACTCCTCCTCTTCTTAATGTAGGATGTAATTGGAGAGTTAATATTAGTTCAATAGATAAGACCTATTTTATATATTTATCAATTTTTCTAAATTAAACATATTAATATTTTTCTAATAATAATAAAGTAAGAGATGGAGGGGGGAAAGTAACAAAGATGTTAAGGGGTTTTAGAAAGAACATATAATATTAATTTAACTATATTTTTAATCCACTCAAATTTATTGATTAGGTCCTACATTAAAGATCGGAAGAGTATATAATTAAACAGAGGAAATGGCTTTAGAGTAGGTAAGTGATCATTTGTTGTTAACTTATTTAATGCTGTTTAATATTTGGATTTCTAACCAGATTTTAAAAATTAAAGGATTTTTTTTTTTTTTGCCAACGAAAAGCTAAAGGATTATAATAAAACTTAATAAC